ACTGGTGGGTTTGCCCTTTTGCTTTCTTCTTTAAAAGTGTTTGGGCAAATACAAAATAATGCAGGCCAAAGAGGCAGAAATCAGAAGGGAATTTTATCTAAATTAGTCTTATCAGCTAAGCAATGAGTAGTTTGGAAATTATGCCTTTCAGGATTTCCACCCAAGCCAAAATAATGCTTTCTGGAATCCAAATTTATAATATTTATATATAAAAATAGATTATAAGAGCATGCTGCATGTTCTATTTTATCAACAGCTCTTTCCCTGATCAAGTAGAGTCAAGAAAAAAACCCACAATATCCTTTCATTTTTCCTAACCATGAAACATCATGGTGTTTAGGGAGCAGAAAGAACACTTTTCTACTGTTCTACTACAAACTCTTCAGCTAATCCCTGCTGCTAGGCCTGTTTTCTGATGTCTTTGACTTTGTTTTTTGCATGACTTCTAGCAGACATTCCCATTGATTGAATTTTCTTCAGTTAATGTTCCAGAAGTAGATGATCCCCTTAGAGTGGGGCAAGTTGAGGTTTACTATGTAACATCAGAAATTCTCATTGATAACCTGTCTCCTTTGTGACCTGTTCTCAATGAATGTGCTTGTCTGAATCAGTACAGTAGAAACTCACTCTACCCCCATTCTCAAAACAAGTGACCACTAAGAAAATAGACACTTGTGAGAACCAAACACTCATGCCTTTGACAATGAATCTCTCCTGCAGTGCTTTTTAAATTGGCCTCCCTCCTCAGAGCCCTGTGATGCCTCAGGAACCACCACTGCAATGAATTCTGGAGTTACACCTTCACTCAGGCAGAAGAACTCCACTGCTTCCCTAGCTCCAACTTTAACCACACGGTATCTAACATAATTCTCCAAGCACTGTGGACAATTCTTGGATGAATTGATCCATGACTTTAGGTCCTACATGGGCCAACTACTATTAATCCCCACTTTGGGCAGCACAATTAGTCTTAAAATAACCCACTGCCTTCTCAGCATTATACTTCTCTCTCACTAATCGCACCCAGTGGGACATCCGGGATATCTTCCTTGTTTGTGGTAACTCTTGGTTTATTGGGCTTTCCTGCCTCAGGTTGAGTATTTCCTTGTTCCTTGTTTGGTTCTCCTTTTGAATAAATTCCTGTATTTATGGCATTTGGAAAATATCTCCATAGAAGGGAGGTGATTCGCTCTGAAAGAAAAGATGCTGCTGAGTGATCTACCGCTGTGATTAATAAGCAGTGCTCTGCAAAATACTCTGATCCTGTGCAAACAGCGGAGAATTCACAGAATATTTTAAATAACGGTGGTTTTAAAAAAATATATTTTTGTTGATTTCAGAAAAGAAAAGAGAGGGAGAGAGAGAAAAACATCCATGATGAGAGAGAATCATGGATCAACTGCCTCCACGCCCCACACTGGGGATCAAGCTTGCAACCCAGATATGTGCCCTGACCAGGAATTGAACCCGACCTCCTGGTTCATAAGTCGATGCTCAACCACCGAGTCAAGCAGCTGGGCAACAGTGATGTTTTTAATGTATTTTAAAACCATGGTGATAGGACAATATTCATATTTAGATGGAGTTGCCAAATATTAACTCATTGAAGACAACTGGAAATGTAGCAAATGGCCACTAAATACTTGTTGAAATAAGAGTTTCTAGGCCTATATCTACTTTAATATAAAGTGTCATTCATTGGGAATGTTTTAGCCCTGTGGAACTGTGTGTCCATGATGGAACCTCAGACGTATCTGCTCTGCCCTTGTCCTAGGGTAATAATAAGTAAACCACGTAAAGAGGAATATTAGAAAGACTGATGATTATTTCTAACTTTGAGGCTTGTAGTAATGTTGACTACATTAAGAATTTTTAGTGTGATGACAAGAACTCAAAATTTGTTTTGTTTTGTTTTTCCCCTTAGGGCAACTTTCAATTAGCAGGTAATTAGCAAATGGTGGGTGAAAAGGATTGTTTTTAAGTCACATTCACCTGAAATCTGTAGTGCTTGATGATTTCATTCTTTAAATGGCTTTATTCATATCCCAGGCCAGTTGTCGGCAAACTGCAGCTCATGAGCCACATGTGGCTCTTTGGCCCCTTGAGTTTTTAGCAAAGGCCAGCTTAGGATACCCTAATTAAGTTAATAACAATGTACCTATCTATGTAGTTTAAGTTTTAAAAATGTGGCTCTCAAAAGAAATTTCAATAGTTGTACTGTTGATATTTAGTTCTGTTGACTCATGAGTTTGCCAACCAGTGGCCCAGGCAATAGATCAGAATCACAATGCTCCTGCTATTGAGCTGCTGAATAATAAGTTTCAGAATACTCAAGAATTACTGGATCACTGGCTGATTCTATATTGAATAGCTTGTATATTCAGATCACAGCGTGTAGGGGTGGGTGTTAGATACACACAAAAGCAAAATCCCAATGCACTGGAATCAGCGTCTCCATTAACATCCTGTTTGCAGCTAAACATCCACAGGCCCACTATGCCCACCAGCCAGAAAGACAAATTGCATCTGTGCTGGTCCGCACTGTCTTTCAGTAAGGCTTTGTGGAGGGTGGCCTGGAGTATTTCAGAATAATGCAGGTTGTTTTCATTTCCCTCACATACCGGAGGTTCTGCTTATAGCCTTGAATATCAGCTTTTGAATCCTTGAAAGCCCTCACCACACAATACAGCTTTTCTCAAAGAACATGGTATTAGGAAATTCTTTTTCTGAGATGAATAACACAGTTTTAGAGTGACTGCAGTTCCTGAAATTAGTAGGACTTTGGACAATACAGGACAACTTGAAACGAAGGTGCTTAAGACCCTTGTAAAAGTTGTATGGTGCTTTCATGCTTTTGCTTTTGTATTCTAAAATGCAAAAAGACCTTGAGGGAGAGAAGAGGTGCTGGGGAACCCATGAGACTTGGTTGGAAAGTTGTGTGGGGATATTCTGAGAAAACAGAAGTGGTTGGAAGGCCACCTTCCTGTTTATCAGAATTCTGACTTAGGGGAGACTTAGGGGAGTGTGCCCCTGATTATTCCTTGGCCTTTCCAAACAAATCTGTGCACCTGCAGACCTCCGAGGTGTTGATTGGAATCCTTATGCTTAACCCCTGGATGTCCTTGCCTAGAGACCATGTAAACACGTGTGTCCTCCCAAGATTGCTCACCCTGATGATTGTATCTAAAGATAAAAATTCCATTAAAGGCTAACAAGGTAGGCAATCAAAGCTGCTCTGGCCACTAGGGTCAGACACCCCTTAGCCCTCTCTTTCACAGTCCAACTGTGTCTGAGTGATCTGTCCATCTGTCCTTCAGGGGCTGCTGGTCGGCCCCGGCAAAGAGGAACCTAAATTATTATTGTTACCTGGAGGGGGGAAGTGAAACTGGATCTTAATTTCCTTTCTGTTTTTTAGAAGAATGTCATTGTGAAATATGAGGTTTGAGAAGGACAGTGTTCCAAAGTCACTCCTTGTAACAGCTCCCAAGTTTCACATGTGAGCTGTTTGTCCCAGGTGACCGACTGGATAAATGGTAACTAACTGTAAAGGCTCTAGAGCTCCGTTTTTCTCCAGTAGCACTTATTCTCCCAGTTCCTTATCTTCTATCGTTAATTGTTCATTTAATAAGTATTTTTGTAATACCTACTATGTGCCAGGTTCAGCTTCATGTTGTGAAGATATGAACCTGGAGATAATGATATACAAAAGAAACACCTTTCTGTATCTCTTAAAGTTTACCATCTTATGTACACAGATGACATAATTATAATATCTATGAGTGCTGCCATCCAACTTCTTATCCACTCTGCAGCCAGAGCAGTCTTTTAAAAACACCCATCCAATCTTGTCCCATATCTCTTTTCATGTGTTTACTGGCTGCCAATTTTCTTTAACATAGAGATGAAAATCCAGAAGAGGCCAGAAAGCTGATCCATTATCTGTTGGAGGCCCCCCTCCACCCCTCCCCCATTCTCCCCACTCTCCCTCCAACTTTCTGTTCTGGACTTTCTGTTCCAGGATCAGCTACCTTCCCTCCTGTCCCAGAGAGTTTTTCTAGTTTCTTCCCACAGTCTGGAATGACCCTTCAGATTTCTCCTTGGCAGCATTCAGTTGTCAGAAGAGGGGATTATATGAGGTGAAGTTCAAAGCTTGTGGCTGTAGTCCCCACAAGAGAAGATGGAGACTTGAAACCAGGTAGTGGTAGAAGAGACAGAATTGGAGAGTTTCTTGAAACATTTGTCAATACCTGAGGGCTGGATTGGAGAGTGAACACTATGAAAGCACCCAGATCCCCAGCCAGTGTGAGTGTGTGGACATTGGGATCATTCACTAAAAGGCAGGCAGAGCAGGAGAGGGGTCGAGGGGTTATGTATATGTGTGGGGGGTGGGGGGTGGGAAGGCTGTGAAGAAAGGAAGGTATGGATGACAACAGGAGGGATAAGGAGAAGTTAACTGCCTTCTAGTTCCAATGCCACCAACCCTTTCAACAAAGAATTGGCTGTGGCATTTTTGACAGTGACCCACACTATCCATTTTGCATAGCCTCCCCAAGCAGTGTATATAGAAATTTGCAAGACAATGTCGCCCTATTTCTTGTGCAACTCGTGAATACTTCTTATCCTACTTTCTTTAAAAAAAAAAAAAAAATGCGGATAGAGTCCGCGTGGTGGGGGGGCAGTGATGTAGGCACGGGCTGTGGGGCAGTAACTTCCGCATTGGTCGCAGGACAAAATATCAGCGTGGGCCGCAGGACAGTGACGTCAGCATGGGTCGCAGGGCAGGAACGTCAGTGTGGGCCGCGGCGCAGTGATGTGGCGTGGGCCGCGGGGCGATGACGGCCGCAGCGGCCATGGTGGCGGCCATTGTGATGCAGACGCAGTGCGGTGGCGGTGCCCTGGAGACCAGGCCTAAACAGAGCTTGCTTCAGTGTCAGCTGGAAACGCTCCTGGAAGCCTCCGCGGCCCACCTTCCGGCAAGTAATACCCTTCTTCCGCCCAACATGTCTGCTTCCAGCGGCTCCCAGAGGCCCATTAAGGGGATCCTGAAAAACAAAGGCTCCTCAGCCACGGCCTCTGCGGTGGCCACATCGGCCTCCTCCGTCATGGCCCCCGCCCCGCAGCCCCGCGGCCTCAACCAACTACAGGCCAGAAAGCCCAAGAAGTGGGACGAGTCCAACATCTGGGCCACCTGCCGGGCCGCCTACAGGGACTACGATCTGAAGAACATCAACGAGCCCAGCACGCCCCATGTCAGGATCCAAGCTGGCGTCGAGGATATGGCGCAGGAGCTCGAAGCCAAAGAGCTGGCCCAAGGCTCCCCCGGCCACATCCTGGGGAAATTAGCCGCCACCTATGCCTCTGAGCCGAACTGCTGCCTAGGAGAGCTGGAGAGCAAGGAGGCCCACAGCAGCAGGCTGCTTCTGGACAAGATCGAAAGACAGCGGCAGTTTGAGCTGAGACGGAAGCTGCATTACACCGAGGGCCTGAACATCAAGCTAGGGAGAGAACTGATTGCCAAAGAACTGCAATATTTAGAAATCGATGATGAAGATGAAGAAATGCCACCTGTTGCCGGTGAAGAGAATCCCGCCGCGGGAGAAGCAGTGAAGGATGGTCCTGCAAGTGAAGAACTGCAGACTCCAGCAAGCTACCTGTAGAAGACCACCAGCCGTGCTGCAACTGTTGTCATACCCACTTAGGACAATAGACTGCTTCTAGCTGCATAGAACTGTGCTTCCAGCAATGAATGCTAGCAGTTTCCTCGCACTGTAATAATTAAATAGCAAGCTTAGAAAATAATAAAGTAGGAAATGCCTGCTTGATATTCTTGTGTCTGAAATCTTTTTTTTTTAATAAAGATTGCGATATCCATTCAAAACCACATTATTTTTATAAAACTTGATTAATGTGTGTATTATATAGCTTTTTATGTGTAAAAGGTTTAATGGGTGACTAATTTATATTCACTTATGGATGTAGTAGAGGCCCAATGCACAAAATTCCTGCAAGAGGGGGCCTTCCTTCCCCGGCTGCCTGCACCAGCTTCCCTCTTAGAACCCAGGACTGGGGCTTCCCTCTCAGCCCCAGCTTCATCCAGAAGACTGGAAAGTTGGCAGGAAAGATGTCTGGTCTACTTAGCAGATTATGCTTTTATTCTAGATTAGCCTTTATAGAGAAGGTTTTGTTACCAAACCAAAATGCAACTGGTTATATATCATAGTATGATAAATATTCAAAGTGAGACCATTATGCGAAGTGAAATAAGCCAATCAGAAAAAGATAAATATCACATAATCTCACTTATTTGTGGAATCTAATGAACAACATAAACCGATGAATAAAAACAGATCTAGAGACAGAGAAGCATCGATCAGACTGTCAAACCTCAGAGGGAAGGCAGGGGAGGGTGGGGGTAAGGGAGAGATCAACCAAAGGACTTTCATGCATGCTTATAAGCCTAATCAATGGACACAGAGGGTGGGAGGGGAGGGGAGGGCATGATGGGGGGAATGAGGGACAATGAGGGGATAAGGACACATTTGTAATATCTTAATAAAGAAAAAAATGGGAAAAAAGTGAAAAATACTTGTTTCAGGATGACTTGCCTGTTTGAGAGAGAATATGAGTTATTGTTGCATATCCTTAGCCTAGTATCTTTAATTTTATCTTAATTTTCTTTCAGTGTTTATAAGGACATGATTGAACTATTATAAAAAATAGGCCCTTTTCATGAATTATCAGGTTAAAATTGCACCAGTGGAAGATTTGATATGGATATATATATATATATATATATATATATATATATATATATATATAATGCCAGTGACCAGAATGCCATAATGAAAGGAACAACCGGTTGCTATGAGGCCCACTGAGGCAGCAAACTAGCTTGATTGGGGGTGGGGCGGGCCCACCAACCTTCTGCGGCCCTTCCCCCTGGCTGGCCCCATCCCTGATGGGCCCCCCACTACCTCCATCCGCCCACAGCTCTGCTCCCCAGCTGACCCCACCACTGATAGCCCTCCCTACCCCAATGGGGGGCAGGGCTAGCCAGCCAACCTCCTGCAGCCTCTCCCTCTGGCCGGCCCCACCCCAAATCAGCCCCCCACCCTGATTAGTGTGGGGGGGTTCAGTTCCTTTCAACTGGCCAACTGCCTGTGGCCCCACCCCCTGGCTGGGCCTGCCCCCAATTGGCCCTCCATCTTATTGGCCTTCAGCCCCTCTCCCAACCAGCTCTGCCCCTGATCGGTCCCCCCCATCTGATTAAGGGCAAGGCCAGCAGCTACTGTCCCCAGCCCCTCCCTCCTGATTGACCCACACACATACCAATGGTGCAGGGCCAGCCAGCCATCCTTTAACAGCCCCACCCCCAGCCACTGATCCCTGATCGCCTCCCCCACCCCATTTAGGGGTGGGGGTGGCCAGCCCACTACCCATGGTCCCTTCCCACGGCTGGTACCACCCCCAATCGCACCCCCCCACACACACACACAGTCCAACCAAGGTTAGGGGCCACCGGCCAATCGCCTTCAGGCCTCCCCCCAGCCAGCCCAGCCCTAATTGGGCCCTGATCAAGGACCAGGCAGGATAGCCAGCCTCCCATTGTCTCCTCCTCCCAATAGCCTGGACCCCACGCATGCACGAATTCGTGCACTAGGCCTCTAGTATTTAAAAAAGTTTCATGTTATCTCAGTAATTTGTTCTCACACCTGTCTTAAAGTCTGTCTTTTCTTTCCTCAGACTTCCCCACCCATAGACACACAATCCTTTATGGAATATCATATTATCAAGACATGAATTCTTCCATCTTAAATTACCTATCATTTGTTGTAACAATGTCACTTTTGTTTCAACCATCATGGCCTATTCAATCTTCAACTATGTACAGAAAATAGACTGAACAGCAGAAGTGCTAGAGTCAGGAAGTAGAATTCAACTGCTCAATTTCTATACATTTTTTGTTTATAGCTTGCTAAATAATTTACTGCTATTAGTTTATCATTTGACCTAATTCACTTTTAGAAAACACCTGTGATTTTATTTCATGACAGAATCCTGTGCAACTAGTGGCGTGATTATAGTTCCTAAATGTACACCAACAGAAGTTAGCCCAGAGGTTTTTGTGTATTCCTTTATTTTTAAATTAAAATTTTACTGAGACAATTATAGATTCATATGATGCTGTCAGAAATAATACAGAGGGATCCTGTGTATCCTTCATGTTGCCCTTTTATAGCCACATCTGTTCTCCATTTCTAGAATTTTGTCATTTCCAGAATGTTATGTAAATGAAATCATAGTATGTAATCTTTGGGGATGCATGATAGTTTGTTTAGCCATTCACTTGTTGAAAGACATCTGGACTAGTTCCAGGCTTGGGTATTACAAATGAAGCTGCTATGAACATTCATGTACAGGTTTTTGTGTGAACATTAAGTTTTCACTTTCCTGGGATAAATGCCCAGGACTGCAATTGCTGGCTCATATGGTAGTTGCAGCTTCTTAAGAAACTGCCAAACTGTTTTCCAGAGTGGCTGTACCATTTTACATTCCCATCAGCAATGTATGAGCATTCCCCCTTTTCTGCATCCTCACCAATATTTGGTATTTTCAGTATTTTTTGTCATTTTTTATAAATGTGTACTGTGGTCTTAATTTGCATTTCACTAATGGCTAATGGTGTTGAACATCTTTTCATTTGCTTATTTACAATCTGTATAGCCTCTTCAGTGAAATATCTTTTACCCATTTTCTAGTTTAATTATTTGTTTTTTAACTGTTGAGTTTTGAGAGTGCTTTGATTTGCAAATATTTTATAACAATCTTTAGCTTATCTTCTTTGAAAGATTTTGCAGAGCAAAATTTTTTTAGTTTACATGTGGTTCAATTTATATACTTTTTCTTTTATGCATGGTACTTTTGGTACTCTAGTCAAACGTAATCCAGAAAGATATTTTTATCCAAATCATGATTTTCCTAATAAGTGACATGTTATTGGGCATATAGAAAATGGACCTGCATTATTTAAGCACTAGAGGCCCAGTGCACAAAATTTGTGCTTGGGTAGGGTCCCTACCAGCTTCTGCTGCTGGCTGGCACCTCCCTTCCCCAGCTTCTGGCTGCCAGCTGGGGCTTCCCTTCATTCCTTGCTACCCAGTGGTGCACATTATAACAAGAGATCAAACTCCTATTCTCTTGGTCGAATTCCTGAGGGGACACTTTGCATATTAAGCTTTTATATCTACACTAATAAAATAGAAAGATGCAAATTGACCATACCTTCAAGATGCTCCAGAAAATCAGGAGTGAGTATGCAAATTAACCCAACAAAATGGAGGGTTAATTTGCATATGCAGGCACTGAGCAAAGACTGAAGGCTCCACCTGAGTGAAGACTGAAGACTGAAGGCTCTGCTGCAGCTGGAGCCAAACCTGAAGGCTTGTAGCTCAGGTCCCGGGTGCTGAAGGAAAACTGGTGCCAGCAGCCAGGGGAAGGAAGGCCTATTGCGTGGTGCAATGGGTCTCTAGTATATAGATAATTTTCCTTTAGATAAATCTAAGAATGTTTAGTTTATGTTTCAACTCCTCATCAGTAAACTCCTTTGATGTAATCATTTGTTTACTTATTTTTCAGTATGAAATTCAGCAAGATTGGCCTTTAAGACCTGGGACATATAATGGTATAAATTGGTTAAGTATGAATAACTTTCACTGGAAGCTTAAGGCATATGTATTTACCCCTAGGCTTTGAAATTGTTTATACTCTTCTACATTAGTATACTACATAAACTGTTGTAGTAAGGTGCAATGATATGAAAAGAATGAGAATGAGGAGTCACTAAATTGTTTCCTCTAAATAGTAACCTGCAATCTGACAAACACTGCCCACAAAGGATCTTAATATTTTCAGTTAAAGGATTTTGTTCTTCGTGTGTAAACATAACCTAGGCAGAACACTGTAGCAGCTTATCAGCCATTCACACCTTAGAGTAAGTGAAGAACAGGGCATGACATATTAATTTGGAAAGGAGCAAGGCAAATTCATGGGTGGCTATAAAAATAAAAGAAAGAAGAACCCAGAAGTGAGGAGTTTGGAAGAGAGGGAGAAAACAATGAGAAAAAAAAAAGAATGGAGCATTAAGTTCATTACCTTTATTTATTGCACAATTTGCCCAAATCCATAGCTGCTCGTTGATAAAATCAGGATTCAAACCCAGGCTGGTCTGGCTTACCCAGACATAGTATTTTCCCTATTGTAAAACACTGGGTCTATTCAAGTTTTAATGGGATTGGAGGTCCTCCTCTCACCCCCTCTTAAACACACAAGTCTACTCTGGCAATGTAACAGGGGTTAGGTTTCTATACAGCTGTGAAGTATAAGTGGTCTAAGGAAACGTTCAGTCTTGGAGTTGCTCCCACCCTCTGCCACACTGCCCCAAACTCCAAGTCTTCTTCTCATCCACTACTCTGAGACTGAGCTCAGAAGGCAGTCTGGTCATTGACTCAAAGATGTTACTGGATGAAAGTAACGTATTTGTCAACTGCATTTCCAACAAGTGAACAAGCATTTGCCAAGCATGGCCTGTATCAGGGCCTCTGGCTAGTGCTGGGAAGAGAAAGATGAATGAAATACAGCCTCTGCATCCAAAGAAGTC